GCACTGTCGGAGGGTCAGTGCTGAGGGACCGTCATGCTGTCAGAGGGTCACAGTGTGGGGTGCCATGACTGTTTCACTGCTCATGGGACCCGGCCATGCACCATCTGATAATTGCATGACAAGACTGACCGCCCCTCAGGAATTACTGGTCTTGGGTAAGAATTTTATTCCGTGCCCTGGGCTTTCAGACGATAGCCATGCGTCTGCTCCCTGTCTGCCACGAGACTCACTGTGGTCGGCTGTGCAGTTCAGCTCCGTCACATCCAGGTAGGTCCTGCCCTCCAGCGACGGAACAATTTGCGACGCGGCCTGAGGATTGGAAAAGGAGCCTTCGGGAATCCCTTTGAGGAGCCTGTACAGGGACTTGGTCTTGTTCCAGCGGTGGGATGGTACCAGGTCTGAGTTGGCGGAGAGGGCCTGGGACAAACAGAAGGTGTCGGTGAAGTGGAGGAAGAGAGGGTGTGCCCAGGACGTCATTTGCAACATCTCTCCAGCGACAGTTTTACACCTCTTCCCTCGCCTCCCGCCCCACCCCCGACACTTCATCTCAACTTTTCAACATCTCCTCCTGTCCCTGTCCTACCCTCATGTGTTTCTCCAGCTGCCCCACGTATGAATGATATTCAACATAACTCACGTCAGGGACTGATACGTCATTGAAGCAAGAGAGAGATATGAGTGCAGAAAAAAAAACGTTTCTCACTCAGTGAGTACACAGGGTGTGGGTTTCACTGCCTGGAAATGTACAGGAGGCAGGTTCAACCGAGGCATGGGAGAGGGACATGGGATGGTTATCTAGTTAGGCATGGTGCACAGGGACAAGGGGAAGGGCAGGAAATTGGCACCAGACAGAGCAGCAAGTACAGGAATGGTGTACTACAATAAACAGCACGAGCTCCAGTTGGAAAATGTGGGCCTTGCAAAAGATATGCGCCAAAGGGTCTGCTAATTCTGTGATTCTGCCAAAGACCAGTACTCCTCAGCAGCGCAAATGGATATATTCATGACTGCTGACTATGGGTAAATATTATTGACAATGCTGTTTGTTCACACAGTGATGGGAAACCAATTTGCAGATGTATTTTAGCCAGGGCTCTGCACAAAAATGAGATTGGACTGCCAATATGTCACTGTCGGAGGGTCAGTGCTGAGGGAGTGGGCACTGTCGGAGGGTCAGTGCTGAGGGATCACAGCACGGTTGGAGGGTCAGTGCTGAGGGAGTGGGCACTGTCGGAGGGTCAGTG